TGCGAGGTACAGGAGTCGTGGATGTGCACTATCACAGATGAGTCCCATACCAGGACGAAACAGCCATCCAGTGTTTCCAGGTTTCTGATGATGCTCTAACAACAAAGATTGATTGATTGAGTGATTGATGATTTCAATTATGTAAAAACACTAATCTCCATAACTCTGATTGAAATAACAATACTAGTGAGCTTTTCATCATCCTATTTATTGTGAATTCTTTTCACTGATTCAATATGAATTTCAAACAATAAACTTGAACTATTCATTGTTATCGTGTATATTCAAGGGTCATTTTGTTGTTTTTGTCTCGGTCTTTTTTACATAAATATTCGCTTTATTTCACTCACTCACTCACTCACTCACTCTCACTCTTTGACGCTGCTCTCACTCTTCCATCTGCCTCACTCATCCATCTCTCTCTCACACATTGATTGATATATTATTTTATTCATGTGTCTAGACAGAATGAAACACAAAATAGCGAAATATAAATAAAAATCTCTACTCATTTATTATTATTATTTCAACATTTGAGACAGACTGATTGTAAGTGTAAAATGTAAACAACGGCCATAATACATGAATTAATAGAGAGTAAATAAGAAGGCTTGAATGAATGAATACAAATCTTAATCTAGTTAGTACATTGATAAATCAGTGATGGACATACAGACATTTATATATACAAAAACACACAGACACACACACACACATTATATTCCTATATATGAAATCTTATGATTTACAACTCGATAGATTAGTTCATTTGTACAAAACAAAGTTAGTTTTTTAATATTAGAGTTGTGGAAAGGATTATGTGCACAGTGACTGACTAACTTCGTGGGGGAATTCTACGAGTTCTAGTGAGAGGCTGTGATTAATGGAGTTCAGTCTGTGTTAGGTGTGTGAGGCAGTTACCCACCGAAGATAATGAATGAGGTTGTATAATATTGTAGATTGATTGAAGTTAGACATGAACGCAACTGGACGCCGGTTCAGTGTTAAGCGTTTGTGTGCAAGACCGTAGTTCCTAGGTTCGATTCGCGCAAGCGAGGGTCATGAATGTGTATTGCTGATGAGTCACATAGTAGTGTGGTGTGTGCTACTTATACGTACGATATAAGTAGTATAAGAAGGGATGTGAAAGAAGAAGTCTCACGGTCAGAAGAGGAAAACGGAAAGCAAATGGAGCAAAAGCAAGAAGTAAATGGAGTAGTACCAACAGGAAGGAAAGGAAGCAACAGCAGGAATGGAAGAAGGATGGAGCGTTGGAAGTCACTACTCAAAGATGGTGTGCAAATAGAGTGTTTTCGTTTTTAATTGACGAAGAGTGTAAATTTGCTTAAAACAATCTTCCGCGCCTGCCTCAGTCTTCTCTGTAGGACCGAACGACCGTCCAGTGCTGCCAGGTTTCCAAATGGTAGTCTAACATTGATCAATTCAGAAGTTCAATGAAAACTAAGAAGAGTTTTTATTGTACGCTTGACATTTATTTCCACATCATGATTCTGATAATTAGTTAAAGAATTGATTAAAACGATGAAATATTTATTTCTTTTCATGTTAGAGTTAATAATTATTGAAATCACTCAAAGAAGCTTCCAGAGGCCGCCTGGTAGATGAGGCGCCTACATCTAATCACAGCTTCATAGAATTTCTAGAATGTGGATATGGTATAAGGTGATTGGACAATAGTGTAACAATGTTAATTGCTGATTGGATGATTTTTAAATAATGCACTCATTCTGATTAGAAAAACTATAAATACACATATTTTCTCTGTACATTTTAACACTTAGTGGATTAAGGGTTTCGTTTGTTTTCCTATTGGACTTTAATTTGCAACCGTGGGAAGCCGTTCTGCTAGTCTTGATACCAAGAGTTATATTGTGTTTGATCCATTCTGGTAACAGACGACACAATATGTGCCATGAAAGCGTTCATGCGCAACTCCTAAGGTCCTGACTTTGAATTCTGTGCAAGTAGCAGAAGTTGTGGATACACACTCAGTCAGTCAGTTAGTTAGTTGCAACGTAGAACTTCGTACGTATGTACATAAGTTCAAGTTGCCATACCACAATATTAGCACAGAGACGCAAATGTCAAATCTAGTCCCATAGTGATAAAGATAGTAGAGGTATTAATGGTAATGAAGAAGACTAGGGTTTGAAGATATTATTCAAGAAGTATAATTCAGTGAGATAAGATTGAAAAGACAAAGGTGGAGGTGTTGATGAATCCAGAAGGTTAGGATTTGAGAGAGCACAACGAATGAATGCACTTGCGCCATTGCAAACGATTTTGAGCCATGTCGTCCCAAGGTCTCTAACCATCGGTGACTTCCGTCTCGTGGACCCCAACCATGTAGCCTACATCTACCAACATGACTCAGTTCACTAGTCAGTGACTTCATGGATTTCTGCCATGTTTTGGTTTGGCTGCCCCTGGCTTTCTTCCAATCCACTCCTACACCACAAAACATGTGAATGCCCACTGTTACTAGTGAGTCCCATATCAGAAAGAAACGACTTTCCAGTGCTTCCATGTTTCTAATGATAGTCTAACAAAGATTCATTCATGATTTCAACGTGTAAAAACAACGATCTGCATAAAACTATAATTCAGAAACAATTACACTTCGTAATCTTTCGAATTATTTGTGCTGAAGTTCATGTTAACTCGCTAATCAAATACCATTCTATATTCTATACCAGTCACTAAGAATGAACCGGTATCATGTTTGTCTTTCATCCTTAGTTCGAATGGAAGTTGACTAGTTGAGATGAAAAACAGTTCAAAATCATTTTCAATAGCATAAATGCACATCTATTGTTTATCTTCTTCTTTTCATGTCTTTCTTCAAATGTCTGCATATTGTGTTCTTTAGTCCTCTTCCTTTCCTTCAGTCTTAAGAGTCCCAAGTTAGGAAATTTTCACAATATGTGTTCTTTTGCACCTAGAGCCCTTTTTTCCTAATTTGATTCTTCAACTGCAAGTTAACTTTTTCCTTTCCACAATAGATTCACACTACTAAGAATGAAATCCTATTCGATTTTGTTTCAAAAGCGCCTGCCTACAGCTTATTCACTTGATGGGACCTTAACAGGTCGTAAACATCATTGTGGATTACATTACTGGCCACTGTTTATTTATTTATTGAGATCTGATGCTTATCGTGTCATGTTTATCATAAATAAAACTATATTGAACTTGGGAATCAATTAAGGTACCTATAGTCTGAACGGAATACTTTTTTTAAAATGTATGTATTATTCCAGTGTGTGTGCGTGTGTGTGTGTGTATTGATTTAGGTACTGTTTGAGAGGATTTTTAATATGATCACTTTTATTGATTATTGAAAATAATTGGTTTATGTTTTTACTACTTCGTTTCTGACTGTAAGTGCTACCTTGACATGATGGTCGAACTTGCCTATCATGATGACCCAACCGAGCTATATTGGCTGCAACATACGTTCGTGTAGGTTCTATCATGCCAACCAATGCTATACTTAGGAAACGAGTATTAGATATAAGGATGGCAGATCAATAGATGAAGTATTGAAGTGGTTGGGACATGACCACCGAGTGCCTCAACAATCGGTGTTGTCCGATGTGGAGGTATGTTGGAAGAAAGCTAGAGGCATCCGAAGCAAAACATGACACAAAACGATGACGTCACTGACAAGTGGACTGAGCCATATTGTTAGGTGTCGCCTACCTGGTTGTGGCCCGAAAGATGATACTAATCGATGATTAGCGACCTTAAATGAAATGGCTGAAAATTGTTTGTTTGTGTTCTGACAAATTTTAATCCTCTGAATTCCTTGTGAATTTTTATCACTGAATCACACTTATCGAGTCATATCTCCGAATCCTACTGTTTTCTATTACTGCCGATACTGCTACAACCTCTACCACTATAGGATTCGGAGTGACAATTCCATCTCTCTCTCTCTGTGTGTGTGTGCTAAAGTAGTATCGTGACTTGAAATGATGTACGCTCAGATACCAAGTTCAAACATTGTTGCTGGTGACTGACTAGTCAAATAACCTGTATGTTTTACCTACTGTTGGGGATGTTAGATACCCAAAACTCGCTTGTTAAATGCCCTATTTTGGATTTCACGTTTGCCAGCATGGGCTGATCAGTTAGTTGACCTTGAGATTTCATTTCCCACCAGGAAAATCCATGGCTGTGATTGGCTGCTGTGTATTAATAGTGTGCTATTTTCTTAACTGTCCCAAGGACGTTTCTATCATGTATAAATAAACGAGAGTTGTGTGCTTGATTGTATTGTGTGATTGCTGGGTGTTTGTAGAATATACTTTCTACGCTTACAAAGCCTTTTTACTTCAGCTTGGGATTGAAAGTAGCCTGCCATGTCGGTAACTGTCGACTACCTGGTTGGGGTCCGCGAGATGATAATAATCGATGGTTAAAGACCTTGAATGAAATGGCTCAAAATCGTTCGCAATGGCGCCAGTGCATTTATTCTTTGTGTTCTCTCAAATCCTAATCTTCTGTATTCTCCAACCCCTCTAGTTTTGACTTTCTAAACTTTTCTCATTTAATCATACTTCTTGAATAATATCTTTTAATCCCAACCTCTCCGATTACTTCTAATACCCTTACTAACTCTTCTACTATTGGATTTGAATTGACAATTACATCTCTTTGCTGCTGTGGTATGGCAACGTGAACTGATGTACTTAAGTACGAAGTTCTACGTTGCAACTGATTGACTGAAAAAGTAGCCTACCTGGACGCTGGTAATTGTCTCGTTCGCGTTTATCGACTAAGGTAAACTCGTATTAGCCTCAAGCATACTTAGTGACAAACATAAAACCTACAACATCCACATTAATAATATTTAATAGAGCATATATATACATACCTATCTTACTTTCTTCCCACTCTCTCTCTCTCTCACACTCTTACTCAACGTAAATTCATGTATTTTCTCTTCTCTGTTCTCCCTTTTATTTTCCAAACAGAATTTACATGGTCAGTGAGCGTTCGTTTTAAACCAAAAGATTATACAAGTAGTAGTACTACTACTTGTTCACTCCTATCGAATCATCATAATTCATCCCAGTGTTATTTATGTTTAACAAATACAGAATTATTATTAATACAAGGTGATTTACATCGACCGAAATTAATTATTTTAGTAAGTTGAAAAAAAAAACTATTTTCAAATTTTTATGATTTTATTTTTTCTTGAACAAAACAGCTTACTTCTCATCGAGCATAGACCGCCGACTAGCGCATTCTCTGACTCATTCTGTTCTAAAGTTCTCCAGGCTCAGTTCTATCCAACTGTGTTATGCATTGTTTGTATATCTCAGCATGATGTGTTCTCTGGTCTCTCTTGCTCGCTCGCTCTCCCTGTTTTCGTTTGACCTTTGAGGGTTCACTTAGTGTGGCTAATGATTTCTGCAATGTATATCCTATCCACCTTCAGCTACTTTTTCTACATTTCTTCCTGATCCATTGGATGTTCTATCGCACACTCAACAACAAATGCAAGAGAAGACGACCAGTCAGACTTCAACTTCATCGACTATGAGAAAGGATTCGATAGCGTGGACAGGAAATTACTGTGGAGACTTCTTCGACACTACGGTGTGCCTGAGAAGATAGTTAATATCATACGGAATTCTTATGATGGATTCAACTGCAAAATCGTACACGAAGGACAGCTAACAGACTCCTTCGAGGTGAAGACCGGTGTCAGGCAAGGTTGCTTACTCTCACCCTTTCTCTTTCTCCTGGTCATCGACTGGATTATGAAAACGTCAACATCTGGAGGGAAGCACGGTATCAACTGGACAGTTAGGACGCAGCTGGACGACCTGGACTTCGCAGATGACTTGGCTCTTCTATCGCACACATAACAATAAATGCAAGAGAAAACGACCAGTCAGACAGCAGCCTGAGCAGTAGTAGGTCTCAACATACTAAAAGAGAAAAGCAAAATTCTGCGATACAACACAACATGCACCAACCAAATCACGCTTGATGGAGATGCCTTGGAGGACGTTGACACCTTTACATATCTTGGCAGCATCATCGACAATCAAGGTGGATCTGATGCAGATGTGAGGGCGCGGATCGGCAAAGCAAGGGCTGCATTTCTACAATTGAAAAATATCTGGAACTCCAAACAACTTTCAACAAAAACCGAAATCAGAATTTTCAATACAAAAGTCAAGACAGTTCTACTGTATGGAGTGGAAACTTGGAGAACTACCAAAGCCATCATCCAGAAGATACAAGTGTTTATTAACAGTTGTCTACGCAAAATACTTCGTATTTGTTGACCAGACACTATAAGCAACAACCTACTGTGAGAGAGAACAAACCAGATTCCAGTGGAGGGGGAAATGAGGAAGAAGCGGTGGAAGTGGATAGGACACACACTACGAAAAGCACCCAACTGCGTCGCAAGACAAGCCCACACTTGGAACCCTCAAGGTCAAAGGAAAAGAGGAAGGCCAAGGAACACATTACACCGAGAAATAGAGAAAGATATGAGAGGAACGAACAAACATTGGAAAGAACTAGAAAGGGAAGCTCAGGACATAGTTGGTTGGAGAAAACTGGTGGGCGGCCTATGCTTCATTGAGGGTAACAGGCGTAAGTAAGTAAGTAAGTAAATAAGGATGACATCATTACATGTTTATATCATACCATTTATCATAGTTTGGATAGAATGAACTGGATACAGTCGTTAGTGCAGCGCAAGAGGTGCGTTTCTTTCTATCTGACTGACACTAGTCAGCTCGGTGTGTCTGCATTCTAGGAGTGATACGATTTCGGTATCAACGAACGGAACGTACAAACAACATCACAATACGATCAAAAATCTAAGCTAATTCTGTACAGCTAAACGTAACTAATAAAGGAAGAAGTCTAGAGTGAAGAGGAAGAATATCTAACCTACAAACAGCCTCGAGCAAATAAGTCAATAAGTATTTAATTCATGTGAAAGAGTCACAAAATGACGTACTACAAAAGAATTATGAAATAATTTTGTCTAAGATTTTTTTCAGGTGTTAACATTGTTACGCATGCACGTAATCACGTCAACTTGATATAATTGAACTATAGCGGGTTTACCTAGTCAGAAAACGAGAGAGAGAGGATCGAGGTTACGGCGACACAACATGCTACTCAAATCCGATTATCCCAACCCCCATACTGAGTAGAAATAAGAAGACGTGATATGAAGTAGAACCTGTATTCTACAAGCATCCAGAAAGTACGAGGTCCGAATTGAGAAGAGAATCAGGATCCCTGACTAGGGATCCGAGACCGAGCCCTGGTCGTGGTCATAAAAAGTTGCACATAATGCGTATTTATACATTTCGGTCGAATAGGAAACAGCATCGAAGTTTGTGACATTGACAGTTAAGACGACCAATAGGAAGTAACATTTGAAATGACATTGATAGTCATGACAACCAATAAGAAAGAACATTTGAAATACAAACTGAAAGGAATAAGTGGTGTTTTTTGTCACAGAAATTTGACATTCCAATATCTACAAATAAATTCTAAATTATTGAGTAGTTCATCTAGCTAATGAAGCTTGTCGTCCTATTCGACACAAGGTTTGAACATTATAAGCTCCAATATGTGATTTAGTACGGGGTTTCAAAAGACCAGGAATAATGTTTTGGGAGTTCAAACCGTTTACTTCAGTGGCACGAGATGACAGACGATCGAAATAACAATTATAAAAACAAGAAACTCTGTTAGGGACTTTAGATCCCCAGAACTCACTTGAATGCGGTGTTAATTTTTGATTTTTTGGTTTTGCGCATGGGCTGACTAGGTGACCTTGAGATTACATTTCCCACCAGGAAAATCCTTAACTGTCATTGGTTGATGGATTATTTTAGTACGACTCTATTTTCTGACTCTCCCAATGGCGTTTCTATCATTATATCAATATACTTGATTTGAGTGCTTAGACATCTCAATCTTTCTGGGTGTTTGTAGAATACACTTTCTGTGTCTTGTCAAGATTTCTTCCTCTACCTAAATGGGGCATTGTGATGCTCGGATTAGAATAACCTATCTTGTCACTGAATCATTTGTCTTCACTCGCATTTACCGATGAAGGTGAATTCGTAATAGCAATCAAACATATCAACTACTGACGTGCATAACAAACTCTATCATGAAATTATTGAAACTCAGAGAATATGATTGTACTCATAGTTTTCTTTTATTTCGCATGATAAAATCAACTCCGTGAATTGATCAAGTTAGATATTAACGTCGTTGAATGCCGGCCTAGTGGTCCGATAGTTAAGCGTTCGCGCACAAGACCGAAGGTCCTGGTCTCGAATCCTGCGGGGTGCAGGAGTCGTGGATGCGCAGTGCCACTGATGAGTCCCATACCAAGACGAAACGGCCGTCCAGTGACACTTCCATGTTTCTAATGGTGGTCTAACATTGATTGATTCATGGTTTCAAAATTGTGTAACTTAACAATCTCCACAACAACGCCATAACACAAATTACCTGTGCTCACTAGTGGCTAGCTTCGTGAGGAGAATCTTCTCCGAGTTCTAGTGGTGGGAAGACGTGAGACCAGTGAAGTTCACAACCTGTTCGAGTGTAGACAGTAACTACTACTACTACCGAAGACTGTGTATGAGGTTGCGCAACTCCATGAATTTGATCAAGTTAGACATTACTAACACACCGTTAGATACCGGCTCAGTGGTCCGATAGTTAGGCGTTCGCCTACAATATTTTATTTATATTTTATCTTATTCTTATTTATCTTTCTTTGAATAATTACTTTTTTGTTCGATCTTCTCTTAAATCAAGTATCAATTTATACGTCAATGTGTAACACGTCGTGATGGTCAATTTCGTATCTGCACTGGACGTGCATCACCAATTGGTGAATGTGAAATTATTTGTCAATTAACTGATTATACGGAGGCAATTTATGTGCATGAACAATGTACACGGTGAGATGATGATGATGATTATTATTTGAGATGTTTGTTTTTAAAAAAAATTTTGCCTACTTACAAATTCGATGAGGAATTCAATAATAGTGTAGGTGTTGTGAATAATAAACGTTAGAGAGTTGTGAATAAGTTCAAAGGTTAGGCTTTGGCGTACAGAAGCCCGAAGGTCCTTGGGTTCGAATCCTCTGAGTGGCACTGTTGATGAGGAGACCCATACCAGGGAGAAACGGCTGTCCAGTGGTTTCATGTTTTTAATGTTGCTCTAACAATCATTCATTCATCGTTTCCATGTTTAAAAACAACACTCTCCATAATGGTCAGTCAGTTGCAACGTAGAACTTCGTATGTAAGTACATCAGTTCAGGTTGCCATACCACATTAGCACACAGACGCAACTGTCACTTCAAATCCAAGAGTGAGAGCAATAGTATAAGTATTAGCAGTAATGGAGAAGATTAGGGAGCGAAGATATGATTCGAGAAGTATAATTCAGTGAGATAAATTTCGAAGGAGAAAGATAGAGATGATGAGGAACTCAGAATGTTAGAATTACCGAGAACACAGAGAGTGGATGCACCTGCGCCATTGCAAACGATTCTGAGCCATATCATTCAAGGTCCTTAAAAATGTCACATCTCACTCTACCTCACGGATTTCCGTCTCCGGCGGTAAGGGTGCCTACTAAGAGCATTTGAAGAGCAGAACTAATACTCGAAAAACCCTTCATAAAAAGGCCGTGCGTGACCGGCCTCAAGCAGTTGTCTCTTGGGCTCTGCGGTCACACCCCCAGGTCGTTAAGACCAACTTTCGGTATTGTGCGCGAACGCTTAACCATCGGACCACTGACCCGCTATCTAACGCTGTTAATGTCTAACTTGATCAATTCACGGAGTTGCGAAACCTCATACACAGTCTTCGGTAGTTACTGTCTACACTCGAACAGGTTGAACTTCACTGGTCACGTCTTCTCACTAGAACCCGGCCCAGTGGTCCGATGGTAAGGCGTTCGCGCACAATACCGAAGGTCCTGGGTTCGAATCCTGCGAGGTGCAGGAGTCGTGGATGCGCACTGCTGAGGAGTCCCATACCAGGACGAAACGGCCGCCCAGTGCTTCCAAGTTTCTAATGGTGGTCTAACATTGATCGATTCATGGTTTCAGAATTATTTTTTCTGGTTAACGTTATTTTTAGCGAGTTAGTGTTCTGTGGGATGAGGTCATTAATCCCACGCTCAACTTTCCTCCTTTATCCGAGGTTGGGGACTGGCAGTATCCTTTCGAGGGGCTCCAGTTAAATAACTAGTCTGATAGTTTGAAGGTTAAGTGATCGATCACTCGTGAACCACCACATCGTCTGAACTCGATTCCCCATGATGGATGAAGTCTTGTGTGTATATGTATATACCGTTAAGGAATTCCATATTCCAACACAAAATAGTTGTTCAATGGTTTCCAAGTTTTTACTCTCTATATCACCATTCAACAAATTTCATAATGTCAATCCGAACAACTAAAATCAATAAATAATTTTCATGCGGATAATTTGAATCCGTAAAAAATGTGTATGTTTATTTAGTTATTTAGTAGTAAAATAATTTTGCGTGAATATGTATCAAATGAAATGCATTATGTCATTAAACAAACAACAACTTCAACTTGTTTTCATTGAAAGAAAATCTTCTTTTCATTGATGTTGTTATTTACTAAGTTTGTGCAGTTGTATATATCGTTCATCGTAGGCACTGAGTACACATTTCATGTACACCTACCTACATTAACATTTGCTCTAGTCAGTTAGTCAGTTCGATATAACGTAGAACTTCGTACATACCTACCGCCATAGCACAGGGATGCAAGAGTCGATTTTAATACCATATTGGTGGAGGTAGCAGAAGTATGAGCCCTTAATCGGATAGATTAGAGTTTGAAGATATTATTCAAGGAGCATAAGCCATTAAAATAAAGCTGAAAAGAGCAAGATGAAGATCATGAAGAGAATGGATGTACTTATGCCAGTGCAAAAGATTTTGAGCCATGACATCCAAAGTCTTTAACCATAGGTTACAATTGTCTCACGGACTCCAACCAGATAGTCTACACCTACTAACATGGCTTAGTCCATTTGCATAGTGACTTCAAGAACTTGT